TTGGATCGTGATTATGATTCCAATGTAATAAATTATAACCATGGAATATTAGTGTTTGTGCCTTTTTTACTATATTCTTATTCTGTCCTGAACATTGAGTTCTACCTGGATTCTTTCCTCTTCGGAATTTATATAATATATATATATATATATATATATATATATATATATATATATATATATATATATATATATATATATATATCCAGTTAAACCAGTATTATCATTGCTGAAAGTTTTTCCATCTACCTAGGTTTTCTTTCTCCTAAACTGGTTACCAACCAATGGTGAAGAGTCCCGTCTGAAAGAGTCCAAAGTCTGATCAAATGATGGAACATCAGCTTTTTGTCGGTAAGGGCGTCTTAGTCGGGCCGAGAACTTTTCAGTGATCCTTGTAAACACACACGCGCGCACACGAATTACATTAAATTGTTTTGATTAATGACTAGTTAAGTTTTTTTTCAAATACCTGATAAACCCTAGAAATATTCGATGTGTTCAAATGTCCCTAATCCCTTTAAATATGTCCTCAATCCGTTTGAAAATAGCAATCGAGAGTTTGTGTGCGTGCAACAATATAAGCTGATTCTTAAATGCGAATATGTATATATTTAGCACGTGTATGTATTTACTAAGATGGCTTTAGTAGGGCAAAAGATCACGAATATAAGATGATCGAAGGTACTAAATGTCATACAATCGTTCTCAGGACACGGTGGCATGCCTACAATGAATGAAAATGCGTTGGACAACGTGAGAAACCCAATCTGCCTTTCACTGGGTCTCTTTCTGAAGACAAAAAATAGAAAACAATTATTAATTACAAAATGGGCTATTATCAATTCTTAATGAAAAGAAGCAAAAATTAAATTTACAAACGGGAAACAAAAAGAGAAATAATGAATTCTTGCACACCGACCCACGGATATATATATATCTTTACAACCACGATTTAAATGAATGTTGTTGTTTTGTCAATAACATTCCATTGGAACACAAAGTGCTTTATTTTACAAATTAACGTAAATATTTAATAAACAAATGTTTATCTTATTTGTTATTTATGCTGGAATGTGGCTCTCTCTCTCTCTCTCTCTCTCTCTCTCTCTCTCTCTCTCTCTCTCTCTCCGCGTCTCTCCTCCGCTCTCTCTATCATACATATATATATATATATATATATATATATATATATATATATATATGTATGTATGCATATACAAGTACAGGGTTGGTACCGATGAAATAAAATTCCGATAACCAAAAACACTATTCTTGTCCTGAGATGAGCAAATAATATTTATTCAAAATTATAACATATGCATGCTGAAATTTTTGTAGTGATGTTATAACATGCATGTTATGGTTTCGGCTATATATATATATATATAGAGAGAGAGAGAGAGAGAGAGTATGTGTATTTGGGCAGCAATCCCTCTTTTATACAAGTTTCATTAAAAACAGACGACAAAGTACTGTGATCGATTAACCTTTTTATTCATTTTATTTTTTTTGCATTCTCTTTCAAATATTATAAAGAAATACAGAATCCTCGTCGACCAGAACAAGAAAATTAAATTAATTATCTATTACAAAAAATAAAATTAAAACTTTATTCATCAACAATAACAATTCACTTACAAAGATCTAAATTACAGAAAAATAATATTATTTATGAATTCACATTAACCCTAAGAAACTGCGTTCCTGATCAAACCAAATTGATGAATAATTATATTGGACATACCACTACATGCCTATCAAGAAGACTCATATTACAACTCCCAGACAATATCACAATTAGGAACCAAACGCATACAGAAACCTACTAAACTTCATCCGTCGAAAATAAGACCATAATAGCCCCATCCCCATGTAAAAATAGGCTAAAAATAATGGAAGCATTAATAATAAAAAAGAAAAAGCCAACACTCAATAATATTTACTATGAACACGGCCACAATATGCTGACCATGTTTGAAAATTAAAAATACATTCCCATCACTATAGATACACATATATAAAAATCTACGTTTTCAATGAAAAAGAACATCCTTAATAATCGAAAGCGCCCAGATATAAAGAACATTTACACACCTTATGTCCAGAAAAGAAAACAAAAAATTGAATAAAAATCTTAATCGCTGTACCTGGTCAGTCGTCTTTAATTAAATATATATATATATATATATATATATATATATATATATATCATCCTATATTTACATATATATACATATATATATATATTTATATATATATATATATTTATATATATATATATATATATATATATATATATATATATATATATATATATATATATATTCATATATATATATTCATATATATATATATATATATATATATATTATTTAAACGTTATTTTTAGTGGATAGTCGTATTTGAGTAGACGCTCCGTTTATTTATTTATTTTCGCCTACCGGCCTGAATATTCGAGAAATATATGCACTCACGGACAGCGTTCGAACCTACATTCCTCTAGGGAAAACCTTCATTTGAACTAACGTGCTTTGACCTCGCGGCTACAGAATGCGAACAAAGCTGATTAGTGTCTTTAAACACAAATTTTCCCCTGACTCTTGAAATAGACATATCTATTCAGTTTCATATCTTAACGTAAACAAAGCTATTTGTAAAGAAAGAGGACGTATTTTTATATTTATTAATCCGATAGATTTTTCTTACTTAAATATTATTTTTAGTGGATGCTCGTGTATGAGTAGATGCTCCGTTTATTTATTAAATAGTATATTTATTGTTTTCACCTATCGGCCTGAATATTCGATAAATCTGATAAAGGAAAAATATACACTCTCAGGCAGGATTCGAATCTGCATTCCCCTATGGTACGGCCTAGAGAAGCACGGCCGAGAATTGCTATGTCTGACCGTCTGTGCACGACTGTTCCGCGTCTGGCAGCGTGAATGTTTCCCCAGTTTGATGTACGACAATTTTCACCCTGGCTCCTTGTTGCGCTAGCAGGCTTTCGCAATCCTCAAGCTCAGTATGAGGAGAGCCTCAGGACAGCACACTTTCCCCCGAGTCCGTTTTTGCCTTTGAAATTTTTCTTCAAAACACCTCCAAAATGTCTACCAAGAAGAAATTGGCTTTGTCTACCTACCAAGAAAGAAAGAACGGATATTGATCTCAAAACAAAAATAATGGTGATTCGGACAAAGATCGACATGTTTGCAAGAATTTTTAACCAAAATGACGTAGGTTCTAAAAAGGTTCTAAAAGTCCTTTGATCTTTTCCTATTAAAAATATCAAAGATTTTGACGATAAAACTTTGTTTTCGTTAAGTTCTGATTATTTCTTTATGATGTGTATTCATTTTATATACAGGGTGATTAAAAAGTAATTCCCTATTTTATGTATGAGTGACTAGCCAGCCAAGAGTCCTGACTTGACACCTTGGGACTTTTTTCTTTGGGGTTAGTGAAAGGAGTAAGTCAACTATATCAAACAAAATCTTTGGAAGAACTTGGAAAGGCGAATACAAGAAGTTATGACCTCCAGACCACAGGAGTTCCTGGTGAATTCAGTTGACGCGATTTCTGTGCGGCTCGAGAAGCTGCTAGCGAAATCTGTTGTCCATATCGAATTCTAAATGAAACCTCATGCTAAACGATTTCCTCTCATCGCAATTTCCTGTAAAAATTATAGTTAATAAATAAATTATAAGTATTTTAAAATGTGGTGTTACTTTTCAATCACACTGTAGATAGATAGATAGATAGATAGATAGATAGATAGATAATATTATTGGTGGTCATATATATATATATATATATATATATATATATATATATACATATATATATATATATATATATATATATAAATTTCCAAAAGGATAGAATCCAGGTAGAGCTCAATGTCCAGGACAGAGCAAGAATATAAAAGGGTCAAACACTAATATTCCATGGATATAATTTAATTATAATTTATTGCATTGGAATCGTAATCACGATCCAATTTATCAGACCTACAAATTAAAAAAAAAAACTTTTTTTTTTTAATGTTTGAATATATATATATATATATATATATATATATATATATATATATATATATATATATATATATATATATTCGTGAAAATCTTATTAGAGAAAAATATGCCGGAGAGTGTAAGTTTTAGTTTAGCTAAATTAGATAAAAATAAATAATAGTTGATAAAAATTTTTATAAAATATTATATTAATTATTTAACTAAAGTACTTATTTAAATATATAAGGCAATTTTATTTATTTTAATTTATACGTGTTCTTTGAAAAAAAGAAACTTTTGAAAGTACTGTCTTTTGTAGAAAGAAAACAGTCTAAGGTTTGAAACAAAAAAATAGATACGCACAAAATATTTTTACAAAATGAGCAACGTAACCTACCTTCATTGTCTACATTGGAATGCAGTAACAATTATTTGTCCTTGTCTTACCACGCACACCTCACCAGCTCCGTCTGATTGAATGGCAACTTCGTTGGTTTGGGATTCCTGCACAGCATTCGTATTTTACACCCACATTCGACTGTGCTTTTGAAGGAAAAAAATAATCGTTACGTGCAAAATTAGGTAAAAATCATTACAAAAGTGTGTCCGGGAAAGACAAAACAAACATTATATAATGAATAACCCAAATAATTCAATGGAGGTAAATTCAGGCTGCAGCGAATGTCATGTCACTAGGAATATGCGAGTCTATCGGCCATATCACTTTATAACACCGGTTCCTGTACGATCATCGAAGTTAAGCAACGGCAAGTGGGCCTAGTCAATAACTAGGTGGGTGACCGCTTCAGAATACCAGGTTCTGTAAGCTTCGACGTATGAGTAATCTAAAAGGCTTACGACCATTACATGTTGAAACTATGGCTCACCGAAGTTAAGCAACGTCGAGCCTGGTGACCTAGATGGGTGACTCCTTGCTGATACTGGGTGCTGTAAGCTTTGACGTGTGGATAATCTAAAGGGCTTACAGCCATTACGCGTTGAAACACTGGTTCTCGTATACTCACTGAAGTTAAGCAATGTTGAGCCTATTCAGTACCTAGATGGGTGATTGCTTGAGAATTCCAAATGATGTAACTTTGGATGTGCGGGTGGTCTAAAGAGCTTATGGCCATATCATGTTAGACACTGGTTTCATTACGATCACCGAAGTTAAGCAACGTCGGGCCTGGTTAGAACTTAGACGGGCGACCGCGTGAGAATAGCAGGTGTTGTAAGCTTCGATGTGCAGATGATCTAAAAGGGCTAACGCCCATTACATATTGAAGCACTGGTTCTCGCACGCTCCACGAAGTTAAGCAACGTCGAGCCTGGTCAGTACCTAGATTGCTACCTTGCGAATTGCTGACCCATTATATATTGAAACTGTACGCGAATACAACGTCGACCACTTGATGGGTAACCACTGGTGAATACTGGGTGCGGGGTTATGGCTTACGGCCATTATATATTGAAACTGTAGTTCTCCTACCCTCACCGAAGTTAAGCAACGTCGAGTCTAGTCCGTACCTAGATGGGTGACCACTTGCGAATACTGGGTGCTGTAAGCTTCGATGTGTGGATGATCTAAAGAGCTTACAGCCATTACATGTTGAAACACTGGTTCTCGTATGCTCACTGAAGTTAAGCAATGTTGAACTTATTCAGTACCTAGATGGGTGATCGCTTCAGAATTCCAAATGGTGTAGCTTTGGATGTGCGGGTGGTATAAAGGGCTTACGGCCATATCATATTAGACACGGGTTTCATTACGATCACCGAAGTTAAGCAATGTCGAGCCTGGTCGGAACTTAGATGGGCGACCGCTTGAGAATAGCAGGTGTTGTAAGCTTCGATTTGCAGATGGTCTAAAGGGTTAACGGTCATTACATGTTGAAACGCACGCTCACCAAAGTTAAGCAACAGCAAACCCGGTCATTACTTCGATGGGTGACCGCTTGAAAATAACAGATTCAGTAAGCTCCGATATGAGGGTGGTCTAAGCGGCTAACGGCCATTACATGTTGAAACACCGGTGCCCTTACGATCACTGAAGTTAAGCAACATCGAGCTTGGATGAGTGACCGCTTGAGAATAGCAGCTGCTGTAAGTTTGAATGTGCAGGTGGTGCCGAGGTTAACGTGTTTGGAATTGTAAGTCGGAAAACCTAGTTTCAATCCCAGTCAGGTTCGTTATTACTTTTAAAAAATCATTTCAACCCAAGCAGGGCGATAATGTCACTAAGGCTTCCTTTCCTCATTATGAGTCCCATAAATTTCAACTGTTTCTTTCTGTTCCTAATTATATGTGCCGTTTCTATTTTCAATCTCCTTAAAACTTCCTCGTTGCCCACATGCTCCGTCCATGACATTTTCAGCATGCTTCTGTAAAACCACATATCTATTGTCTGAAGTCTTTTCTTCGTCTCTGAAGATATTGTGCAGAATTCACTATCAAACAGGAAGATTGATATTTCATAGTAATTCAGCACTTTTTTCTTTTTATATTTCTTAATATTCGTAATAGTTTTTTTTTGAGACATTGATTGCAATTCCAAAGTGCGTTTAGATTCCGATGTCACATTTTTGTCATCAGTTAAAAAAAAACTTTCCAAATAAATTTCTGGTCTGACTTTAGATTCTGATATTTTCAGTTCGTAGCAAGAAGTTTAGCTCTTCCTCTTTTGTCTTTGAAAATTTTCTTCAAAACACCCCCAAAATATCTATCAAGAAGAAATTGGCTTTGTCTACCTACCAAGTAAAAAAGAACGGATATTGATCTCAAAACAAAAATAATGGTGATTCGGACAAAGATCGCCATGTTTGCAAGAATTTTTAACCAAAATGTCGTAGGTTCTAAAAAGGTTCTGAAAGTCCTTTGATCTTTTCCTATTAAAAATATCAAAGATTTTAACGATAAAACTTTGTTTTAATTAAGTTCTGGTTATTTCTTTATCATGTGTATTCATTTTATATACAGGGTGATTAAAAAGTAATTCCCTATTTTATGTATGAGTGGCTAGCCAGCCAAGAGTCCTGACTTGACACCTTGGGACTTTTTTCTTTGGGGTTAGTGAAAGGAGTAAGTCAACTATATCAAACAAAATCTTTGGAAGAACTTGGAAAGGCGAATACAAGAAGTTATGACCTCCAGACCACAGGAGTTCCTGGTGAATTCAGTTGACGCGATTTCTGTGCGGCTCGAGAAGCTGCTAGCGAAATCTGTTGTCCATATCGAATTCTAAATGAAACCTCATGCTAAACGATTTCCTCTCATACACATTTCTTGTAAAAAATTATAGTTAATAAATTAACCCAATCAAAGCGATAATGTCTCTAAGGCAAGTGTTTACTAGGAGTGAAAGAGAATGTGAAAAATCAGGGAGAAAGAACCGATAACCCAACCCTAAACAGGAAACAAAGGATAAACCTCTGCAGTTAAAGGATTTTACTAGGATAGGCCTATTAGTATTAACATCCATCAAAAGACGACATCACTCCTACCACTGTCTTATTATTCTTTTATGTGAAGTGTCCCTTCAGAATATAGTCGATAGTGGCTCTCCACAACTTCCTATTTTTCGTAGCTCTAATGTCTGTCTTCTTATTATCCCTCGTATTCACTAATCTGCCATCCATTTGCAGAAACATGTTAAGTCGAGTGCTCGATTATTTCCCCTGACCTTCTTACCCTCAGTACATACGGTGAGTTTCAAACTCTCCAAGCTTCCTTTCCTCGTTATGAGTCCCATAAATTTCAACTGTTTCTTTCTGTTCCTAATTATATGTGCCCTTTCTGTTTTCAATCTCCTTAAAACTTCCTCGTTGCCCACATGCTCCGTCCATGACATTTTCAGCATGCTTCTGTAAAACCACATATCTATTGTCTGAAGTCTTTTCTTCGTCTCTGAAGATATTGTACAGAATTCACTGCCAAACACGAAGATTGATATTGCATAGCAATTCAGCATTTTTTTCTCTTTGTATTTCTTAATATTCGTATTATTTATGTTTTTTTTTTGTTTTTTTTTTCTTATTTATTTATTTATTTATTTTTTTGGAGACATCGATTGCAATTCCAAAGTGCGTTTAGATTCCGATGTCACATTTTTGTCTTCAGTTAAAAAGACTTTCCAAATAAATTTCTGGTCTGACTTGATTCTGATATTTTCAGTCCGTAGCAAGCAGTTTGGCTCTTCCTCTTGTCAACAACTACACATTCTGTCTTCTTACAATTAAAATACCAGGCACTGTAAGCTTGGATGTGCAGTTGGTGTAATGGATAATGGCTCGGAATTGTTAATCAGAGTGCCGAGTTCAAATTCTTGTCAGGTTCGTTATATTGTTTTACGAGCAAATACCATTAGGAAAGGTATGAATCCGCCACTTCTCCCCCAGCTATGGGTTAATCTGTAAGACTTGTATTACTAGACCTTTATTATCTCCAAAGTAAAAAATCTTACAATCTAAAAATATTTTCTGTCTTTAAATAACCTGTAAAGGGTTGATAAGTCTTAGAAACGGAATCAATTAATACAATTCATGGTTTGTCCTTCCTTCCCGCTTTCTTTTACTGACTTGTCTAATTGCTGTAGGTTTTTTTTTCTGTCTGATGCCAACATGGTGTCATTTACGTATCTTAAGATTGTGCCATCCAGTAATGAATCCTGGTAGGAGTTCTAGTACTCCCAGGATCGCCAAAATTTAAATGCAACACCAATCGCCACTTTCTGCCTTCTTGTACCCTGTTCCTTTTTGTCCTTTCGTCTCACTAATGTAGATTTTGTTCCTGAAACGTAAATGTTAGTAATGTTGAAATTCATGTGGTCTGAAAAAATATCAAAAAAAAAAAAACATTGTTATCTATTCATCTCGGGAGAGGATAGCGTAGCACAGAGCACTAAAGGCCCGGGCAGGAGCTATGGAGTTCTTGCGCTGCCCGTACGCTGAGATCCCATTCTTCACGTTGTCGACAGTGTCTAAAGATAATGATAAATCAATACAGTTTGGTTTCGGCGCTGCTGTTGTAGAAACCGGAAAGTAACACAGTGTGCCATCCACCCGCCATCAGGGCCCCAATCCAGATTTATGTGGTGTTTTACTTTGTAGTAATAGCAACAAATAAATCACTAAATAACTTCTAACACTTAGTACTAGACTATGTAGGAGTATGAAACCAAAATAGTTAATAATAAGAGAAAAATTAAGAGTTAAAACTACTTTAAAATATAGCTAAGAATGATAATTAACAATAAAGAAACAAAAAGTTAGATTATTAAAAAAAAAGAAATAGTTAAATAAATATGAAAACTTCCATAATGCTCCGGAGCAGGCGATTTGCTGCCAATTGAAACGGAAATTAAATTTTCTCTCTCTTCGTCTTCGATGACAAAATGAAGTAGATGTCTGTGGACAGCCCTCCGATAGACCATGTGTCGACAAACAAGTAAGAATACACTTTTTATCTCTGTATACGTATATGTACTTTGAAATATGCAATCATTTCTCTGAAATGCATGCTAAAGCATTTTATCGTTTTTGTTTACGCTTATTGTGTTGTATCTTGTATATGATTTGTTTGTCATTTATATATTTCTGTTGTGGGGCTGATGATAGCTTTTTAACCCCCAAATAAAATGACATGTCTATAAAAAAGTAAGTACTTTCAGACAAGGACGATGCATCATCAGTACAATCAACAACAACCTTTTCTTCATGATAACCACAAGGCAGTGGAGGGAGTTAATTCAGTCTTTTCTTTTCCTGAGACATGGCTGCTACCCAAGATAAGAAATCCCAGTCTATTCTACTATTTGATCCATAGCTAGTTGAATCGCATTTTGAGCATATGTGCTAAGAGCGATCATTTCTTTTTTGATGTCTTTTTTACGGTTTATCAACCCTTTGCAAATTATTTAAAATCAGAACATATTTTCAGATTGTAAGAATTTGTTTTGAGATAATAATGGTTTAGTGATACAAATGTTACTAATTAACCCATATCTGGGGGTGAGGGAGAAAAGGTGAATTCATATCTTTCCCAAGAGAATTTGCGCATAATTGAATATAACGAACCCAACTGGAATTGGAACTCGGATCTCTGATAAACAATTGCGAGCTATTATCAATTATAACACCCGCTCATCCATGCTTACAACAGGCGGTATTCCTAAACGGTTACCCATTTAGTTACTGACCAAGCTCAACGTTGCTTAAGGTTAAATGGCTAAGAACGATCGTTCTTTATTATTTATGTTGTTAGCAGTGAGTTATTTCGTTTTCCCTAAGACCGTTTTGCTCCACATTTTATAAACCATCGCCGATCGGACCCAGAATTTTCACCAATCGTGATGAGAGGAGGTTCCCTCAGTGTGGCCCCGTGACTCGGGCGCCTGTTGGTACTTAAACTCGACCCAGACCTCAAATGAAACTCGTACATATGAGTCAACGCTAAAGATGCTGGGAAATAGTGGATTCCCTGTATCATTTCAGCAAGAACTTCATTTCTCACGCTATTTTCTACTTTTACAAGAGACAAAGAAAAGACTTTCGGCAGTAGATTTGTGGTTTTACAGAAGGATGATGAAATGGAGTATATCTGCCATATATGAGCAGGAGCTGCCCAATCTTCACTTCCCAGTCTCGATAGATAGAGTCCAAAATCGTCTCTGCGTCCTTGTACCGGAGAAAATATTTTCCATTCTGCAATCCCTTTCTCGCAGACGAAACGTCGCAGGGCCCTCGTTGCCCTATCAGTATTTCCATGGTAAGTGTTCAAATGAACTATACTCATTAGTCCTAAACTTCAAGGCTAAAACCCGCCTTGCCACGCACATTGTAGCGAACCAACC